AAGTTTTCTATACCTGTGTGTTAAATGAATGAGTACTGACTTGGCTGGTTATCCTGCTGGGAGCACAGAAAAAGAAAAAAAAATATGAAGCAAGTATTGGAGCAATAAAGGAAAGTAACTCCTAAAAAAATAGATAATTTGACAATTTATGCATTCATTAAAGATACTTGTACTAATCCTGAGAAAAATTGCACTTTTCTGCGATCTTTCTGGTCCAATCCAGAAGTCGTATAGAATTGAAAGAAACAGAAACAAAAATTATGCAGGTCTAACACCTAGGATGTAGGGCCTTTGTAATATTCTTTATAGAAATGAACTACTTCTAGTCCAAGGAGTGGTAGATCTATAGAACACTCTCTCTCTCTCTCTCTCTATATATATATATATATGTATATATAATATACAAAATAGATTATATATAATTATAATATAATATAATTAAATATAATATATGCAATTATATATTATATATACACAAAAATAATTTTGTAACACAAGAAGTGAGCTGACCTTGGAGATCATGATGTTTTCAGAAATGCTCTCAAAGTAGAGTAAAGGTTATCTGAAAAGAACATTCCATCGGTAGGGCAGTTTAGCAGTAACCAAAAAAAAAAAAAAAAAAAGAATCATAAGACAAGTCAGTTAGGAGACACTAAGTCATTAAATAATATTTGAATTTATAGTTACACTGAAGAACATCTCAATATAAAGAAAGGAAGCTATAACAAGGATAAAAATCACAAGTGTCATATAGTTGAATTAAAATCAAGTCCAGGATCACATTTTTAAAAAGCTACATATTTGGTGATCTGTCTCTCAGCATCTGGGTTGAACCACCTTTATTTATTCATTCTTCAAGTGATTCAAGGTAGAGAAGAAGTTGTTACATGTGTACATATAAGTTATTATAAAATGAGCAACGATTAATTTATGCATTGGCAATAGTGACAGTTCAAATAATAGCCTAAACTTAGGAAGAAAATCATAATTGAAATACAAAAATTTATGAAGATCTATTACATAGTATATCAATATAATGAATGGTATCCCTTGAAGGAATAGTGAAACTTGCTTTCAGAAATATTTTGGGGGTGTGATTGTTTGTCCTGTTGGTTAATGCCCATGTCCCATATCAGATGCCTATGTCCCATATCAGCGTGTCTGGATTCAATTACTGCGTCTAGCTCTTGATTCCAGATTCCTTCTAGGAGACCCTGGGAGGTAGCAATGAGGGTTCAAGTAGTTGACTTTTTGCAACTCACATGGGAAACCAGGATTGAGTTGACTCAATCTTGGTTGATGCAGACTTGGCTGATGCAGACTTTGCTAATGCAGACATCTGGGGACTGAATCAGTGGGTAGGAACTCAAGTTTCTCTCGCTCTCCCTGCCACCCTTGCTCAAATAAATTAGAAATTCACTTTGGCCTAAATCAAACAAAACACTGACCTCTCATGTGACAATGACTGAAACCAGCACTTACATAATGCACTGCTTATGTAAATATAAATCAAGGGGATTCCGCTGAAGATCTTACATGTTCTTACCATTAACACTACCTTGGTCTTTCAAACTTGAATCATAATCTCCATACATTCCTCTTGTTTCTGTCCTGTGTCTATAACATTTCCAGTGGAACAACATATCTAAGTTTCTTTTCTTTCTTTTGTCTCTCCCACTCCCTACACCCACATTGTTAGAATCCTAATAGTCCCACTATAGATAATAAATGTTCACCCCTACGTGTGATGCTGTCTCTATCCTATCAATAGTAATTTATCCATTTCTTTGCAAGCAAAAAATTGCCTCCTGGTTGTTTTTGACTTACAACCCAGAACTTTCCTCTTTTGAACTTGACACCTCTCCTTGGATAGTCACTAAATTAAAGCAACACTTTTTTTTTTTTTCAGTAGAAAGACACCTTCACTGAGTCTTTGGCTGAACTCTAACAGAAAAGGAATCACCTAGGGCCAAGGCCAGGCTTGAAAGGACAGAGATTTCATTTTTTACCCAGGAAGGGCATCTGCCCAGTCTAATCACCACCATCTGTTAGCAGTGCTTACATGCTTCCTTGTAAATTTTTGTTTCCCTTAGCTTAGTCCTTTCATTTTGAATACTGAGAACTCTAGTTTTCCCTCAAAGTCCTTGGGGGAAATGTTCCCACTGGCTCCCCCTCATGTCAAACTGAAGACAAGATCGGTTAACTTAACAATGCTAATATCCACAGTGGTAAGCATTAGAATCCTGAGCTCAAAAAAGAATGCATACATTTCCGTAGTTTCCCAAGACTATGTTTATATTGATTTTTTTTCTCCTGGTATTTGTAGTCATTTGGGAAGTGAACCAGTGGGTGGAAGAGCTCTCTCTCTCTTTCTCAACCTCTCTCTCTCCCTTTCTCTCTGTGTGTGTGTGTGTGTGTGTCTTCCTCTCTCTCTGTAACTCTGCTTTTCAAATAAATATATAAATGGTTAAAAAGAGAAAAAAAGGATTTGAAAAGATGTAAACGATGTGGTGTACAAGGAGATGAGAAGGGTTGGCTGTTTAGATTTCCTCTGGACCATGTATTTTCCAGTGTCTGGAAGGAGGAAATTGGGGATGACTGTGCAACTAGGCAAACACCCAGTGCAGCATGATTCTGGCTCAAAGGAGGAGATGAAGTCTAATCAGATTTTGCCATCTGCTGAAATATAGTAGTTCAAACACCTGAGACATTGAGGAAACTGATGTGCCTCTTTCTTAGAGATCAGTACAGGTATGGGTTTCTATCTGGTATTTTATGTACAGTTCAAGGAAACCTATCTTGGGGAACATGATTTATGGCTCACCAGATGCCTTCAGAACTTGATTTAGACATCAGAGTTAAGTTGGTTTCAGCAGTAGAAATGAGTTTATTTGTTCCTCTCCTATAAATTAACTGACTAGATGAATGGAAATAATCATTACACTCAGACTCTTAAAATGAAAATTTAATTCACATGTGCGAGAAGCATAGTCAACAAGAATCAATGATAGGCTGGCGCCGCGGCTCACTAGGCTAATCCTCTGCCTTGCAGCGCCGGCACATCGGGTTCTAGTCCCGGTCGGGGCGCCAGATTCTGTCCCGGTTGCCCCTCTTCCAGGCCAGCTCTCTGCTATGGCCAGGGAGTGCAGTGGAGGATGGCCCAAGTCCTTGGGCCCTGCACCCCATGGGAGACCAGGATAAGTACCTGGCTCCTGGATTCGGATCAGCGCAGTGCGCCAGCCGCAGCGCGCTGGCCGTGCCGGCCATTGGAGGGTGAACCAACGGCAAAAGGAAGACCTTTCTCTCTGTCTCTCTCTCTCACTGTCTACTCTGCCTGTCAAAAAAAAAAAAAAAATCAATGATAATCTCTTTCTTTCCTCCAATATTTTTGTTCCAGAGTAGGACAGAATCACATCAGTGTTCTCCAGGTTGTGGGGCCCACCCTGCCCTGTACATGTTGGGAGGGCTTTTTCTTGAATAGTGGCTAGGCTACTGCTGAGTCCCTGACTATGAAAATAATTCAGGTGCAGGACTTAATCTTGCCAGCAGATATGCATATTACAGTATACTAATTACAGTAACCCCAGCCTGAAGCCTCAACTTCTACTTATCCTTTGCAGTGCTTCTATTGTCAAATATAAAGCACTGTTCCTTATAGTTCCATCTCAGTAAGATTGCTGCCTAATTATGGAATTATGTCCAGCTAGACGTTTCCTCATTTACCGCTTAAGGCTTACTTATTAGAATCAAAGGTTGCTCTAAGTTGACTCAATTACTTTTAGTGTTTAGTCACACTATCTTTGGTTCTCATCTTGTAAAAAGTACAGGGTTATCCTTAAATCATGTATATGAAAGAATATCTTCTAAACAAAAGAAACTCATTATCTAATTCTAAAATACATTCAGCTTGATTTGCACACTAAGACAAGTAACTAATTACAATTTTTATAAAGTACAAGTTAGTATCCAGAATAATATGCACACATTTTATTTTGTATAATGCAAATTACCAAATAAAATAGATGCTATATTATCATTTAAACCATATTAATACGTAGAACTACCTTAAAACTCAGATGTACTTACAGTGTAGTTTTATATATGGGTAGGGAATGTTAACAATTCCAATATCATTCCCAGCTCCAAAGCACAATCACAGAGCAATGCTCTTCTTTATCACTCCATTAAGTTTAATGTACACCCACATTTCATGATTTAATTATAGCCTTAGTGTCTTCAACATAAAGAATAAGTCCTAAAATTAACTTTTTATTGTACAATAAATTCATTTTATATTTACATATATACCATCCATACAAGGTTATTACCCATAGCATCATACCAAAATTTTCTAGTAACTGTTCCCACCCTTAACCTTAATAATTTATAGTTTTATTATCTAACTTTTGATTCCTATCTCACCACTGTTTGTATAAAGGAGCTTCAAAAAACTCGTGTAAAAACAGAATTTAAAGATAAGGTTTATTTTCCAAAAACGTTTTGAAGTACTCTCTTACATATGCATAATCATAATTTACAAGTAAACGTGTGTTATTCTGTTATGTCCTTTGCTTACTGTGTCTTCCCTCTTGACTTTATTTCTATTTCTTTCTCTAATAACTCTAGTGATCAGATTGCGCAAAATGCATGCACAAGCACAGTCATTTTCAAAATGTCAGTATGATATTCTCATTCTAGTGACATGAGTGTGATTCTCATGTAAGGGATAATGTTTTTGTATATTTTTTAGTTCTTTTACATAATATGGTAGACATTCTATAGTCCAAAAATGCGTATTACATGCCCTAGAACATAGTAAAATTATTAAGTGCCTAGAAACATCGTATGTTTATTATTTTGGAAATTAAAATTAAAGTTAGCAGTACAACTGTCCGTTTCATTTTACTCTGCTGGTAATATTCCTATTCTCAGATGAGCATCTTATTTCCTTATTATTGATAAGATGTCTAATAACATAGACTTTTTCATTTAAACACAATTAAGGCTTTGAGATGTGAAGTTACATTTTCCTTATTAATATATCAGTTTTCTAATGAAATTTTCTATCTATGTGTTAAAGAACTTCTAGAAAATCAAATTTTACTTAATTTTTAAAGAATTACATAGCATTTCACCCATGAGTTTCAATGACCTATGTTTTCATAGAAAAATTAAATAATTTAAATTCTCTTTGAAACAATACTTGAGCCAGTAGCTATGACCCTTAAAGGCACCTGGTTATGAAATTCTCTTAGAAAAGGCTCTAGAAAATCCACCCATAAAGCTTATACGTTTGTTCTCTCTCAGGCATCTTTTTTTTTTTAACTTTTATTTAATGAATATAAATTTCCAAAGTACGGCTTATGGATTACAATGGCTTCCCCCCCATATCGTCTCTCCCACCCGCATCCCTCCCCTTTCCCACTCCCTCTCCCCTTCCATTCACATGAGGATTCATTTTCGATTCTCTTTATATACAGAAGATCAGTTTAGCATACATTAAGTAAAGATTTCAACAGTTTGCTCCCACACAAACATAAAGTGAAAAATAATAGATGATTTTTTAAATGCTGATGAAATCAGATCAGACCTATTGTCATGTTTAATCCCAGTGAGAGTCAAGTTGGGAGTTGATAATTTCTTTTTTTTTTTTTTTTTTTACAGAAGATCAGTTTAGTATACATTAAGTAAATATTTCAACAGTTTGCACCCCCATAGAAACACAAAGCGAAATATACTGTTTGAGTACTCATTATAGCATTAAGCATCTTTTAAGATGACACAGTAACCTCAAGGCTGCCTGTCGCAGTTTGACATTTCCCAGAATAAGAAGAAATGTGTGGCCTGAGGGAAAGATATTTAATACTAGTACAAGAAAATTAATTAACTTGTTCTTCCAAAATGTAAAGGATGTCCAATACATCAATTGTATGGAAAAAGAATGAATTGTGAAGAGGAGGAGGAAAGACAGTACCATTTTCATGGCTCTTTTATGGGTCTGTGTGCTGGCATCTCCAAAGCCCTTGGCGTTGAGCCGCAGATTTCTAGCATGTCTCACCAAGGACAGAAACAGAAGGAGCAATGAGGTCAGGGACAGAACAAAAGGGATAAAGTAGGTCAAGTTACCAAGAGACAGAATTTTAACATGGAAACTACTTCTTTCTTCTGAATTCAAAGTCTTGTTACCTTTATCTGTGATGTAGATAGTCAATAAGATACCAATAAACTTATCTATCCACAGAAAATCAAATATCACCAAGAACAATGAGAACAGAACCAGTCCAAGAACTACTCTGTCCATTCTCCACTTAAGCCAGAGGAAGAGGGAGTGTGAGAAGTGGGCTATCTTGAGGAAGTAGAAGATGCTGAGGCAGGTGGCAAACCAGATGGTCAAGTGATTAGTCATTCTCCAAAGGATATGAACAAGTTTTTTTACTTCAAAAGTAGAATATAAATGTGGATGGAGTTCTTTTATACACGACTGTAACAATAACATGAACAGATTACCAATCCTAGAGATGGCCAAGCAGGTAAGGATGAGGTCAGCTAAGGAGATCTTTCGGTTCTGGACGGATTCAGAGAAGTTTACCAGTGAAATGAACACGTTCCCCAACATTCCAATTATGCATTCTGCCATAATCAGTGTCAGAATGATTTTACCCCCTGCAATGAACATTTTCATAGGGAAAAAAATCCAAATTTGTAATATTCTGTCATTGATCAATTTTTACAGAACAGCATTAACTTTAGAAACTTCGTTGCTTCTGTTACAATTTCGTTCTTGATCCAAACCACCATTTGTAGGATACACTTTCATGTAATCCCAGCGCTGATCCAGAAAGAAGCCACTGAAGGATGCAGTCATAAACACATTTTAATTTCTTTGAAAGAGTTACTGAGAAAAAGAGAAAATATAACGAAGTTCATACAAAGGGAAAGCAGAAATAATGAAACATAACACAGATGGAGTAACTACCAATACTACTGGGAGGGACAAAATGGAGGTGCCATTTACCTGCAGTGTGGAAGATACTCAGAATTTCATGAAGTAACTGAAAAGTCACATTTTGGATTGTTCAAGTGATATATATGTGTGTATATATATATATATATAAAGTGATATATATATATATAAAGATACCAAAATTGAAACTGCTTCTCTGAAATTAAAATCCTGTCATTGACGATTTGTTTTCAGTCCAAATGCTCTTCAGGTGCCTCAGAGTCGCGTGTTCACAATTAAAATCATTTCCCAGTTTGCCTTTTACTTTTGTACATGTTTGGCTTGTTTTAGCCGGGGACATAATCTGTGCATTGAAACTTAACAAGCAGGGAGAAAATAGTTTCAGGTGATAACATTGAAAGGGTAAACAAAATATCTGTTCTGCATTCCAGGAACCACAACAAATGACTATGAAAAGCAATAAGGAAGAAGAATCTATGAATCTGGGTGAAGGATTTAAGGACTAGAAAAAGGAAAGGAAGTCTGAGATGACTTTCAATCCTCTCCTGTTGCACCTGAATGCATGGAATACTGTAACCTACAGGAGTCACTAGAGGAAGGTTTAGAAGCCACAGGGAAAGAGAAAGAGGAGGTGTTAGAAGATGATTCTTATTTGAACATTGGGGGTTCCTGTAAGTCATCCTTGTAGTAAACTGCAGTAGGCACTTGAATATTTGTGGATATATTTCTGAAAAGTAATTGGAGAGGCAGGCATTGTTGGCATAGTGTGTAAAGCCATTGCCTGGGATGCCAGCATCCCATTTGGTCATCTCTTGGCTGCCTCTCTTATGATTGAGATCCCAGCTAATGTGCCTGGGAAGGCAGCTGAGTACAGGATGAGCCCCTATACCCACATGGGAGGCCAAAATCCTGTCAATGATATATTTTTCTTTTTTTTTCTTTTTTGACAGGTAGAGTTATAGACAGTGAGAGAGAGAGACAGAGAGAAAGGTCTTCCTTCCGTTGGTTCACCCCCCAAATGGCCACTATGGCCAGAGCTACACCGATCCGAAGCCAGGAGCCAGGTGCTTTTTCCTGGTCTCCAACGCGGTTGCAGGTGCTCCAACCACTGCGGTCATCTGGGGAGTGAACCATTGGATGGAAGACCTGTCTCTCTCTCTGCCTCTCCTCGCTCTCTGTAACTCTGACTCTCAAGTAAAAAATAAATAAATCTTTAAAAAAATAATACTAGAGGCTAAAATATTGCTTGACAATGCCGTATACAACAAAGATTACTTTCGAAATTGTATTCCCTGACCTTATATGAAATATCATCAAAAGCTGCCAGGAATGGTATGTTTACCAATTTTTAATGCAATCCTGTAAAAGAAAAATAGTAAAGATTATACTTAAAGCCTCCTTATTATGTTATTCTCTTAGAAAACATTCTAAATGATTTGCTGCTCTCTCTCAAGCATATTTTAAGATGACACAGTGCCCTCAAGTAGTAAGCAAAAGAGTAAGATAATAAGAATTGCAGTTTTAAGAAACCACAATAGCTGGAGAGTTGAGAATGGATAGTAAGGAGACATTTGATCATGAATTCTCATCAAAAGGCTGTTCCAAGTAACTTGATTCTAGCGTTAATCAGAATGATGGGTCAAGATGTACAAAACTGAAAGACTTTTCAACAAAGTAAACTTTTGATGAACATGACAAGAATTTTTTCTGGAGAGAGTATGGGAGAGTAAGTTAAAAATTGTACGTTCTTGTTCATATGAAATGCCTTTGGACACTGTCATTTATTTTCTTAATTTGGTTACATGTCTCCTCTCCCATGACTATGTAGTGCACTATAGTAAAAAAAAAAAGTGTTTGCCAAAAAAAAAAAAATGCTTGCCTTTGTTCATCTCTTTTCTCTTTATTTCTGTTTGTTATTTCTTCTGAGAAAATTACTTACATACTTATTTAAGTATTTTAGAGTTAATCATAATTTTTCAGAAGCCAAAAATGGCTTAAATCACATTTCTGATGTTATTACCATGTTAATGAACTAAATGGAATTCCTCAAATTTGGAGGATATATTTGGTAGAGTTTGATAATATGTAGACATATAAGAATCTTGAAAAATTTCAAGGAAATTATATTTTATAAAAAATTATGTATGGATTTCAGAAAATTTTTTCACCAAAATAAACTTATCTTTAAATTCTTCTTCATGACTGGTTTTGAACTATCATTGCTTATATTGCAGACATCTATATAATTGCCAAATTCATTACAAAATCCCTTTGTTTGCTCATTACTGTGTCTGATATTAAAACTTTTGATCAGGAGTGATCATTTAGCCTAGTAATTTTTATATCTACCTCCCAAATTAGAGGGCTTTTTTTCAGTACCTGGGTCCAACTTCTAAATCCACCACCATCCTACTGCCCCCCGATGCAGATGGTGAAAGCAGCTATAATGGGTCATGTAATTGGGTTCCTGCCACTCATGTAGGAGACCTGCACTGAGTTCTTGCTTCCTAGCTCCAGCCCTGGTCCAGCTATGGCTATTGCAAGGATTTCGGGAAAAAAACCACACACACACACAGGGAATGAGAGCACCCAGCCTGTCTTCTCTGTATTTAAAACTTAAATAAAATTTCAAAACATTAATTATTTTTGTATTTCTAAGTCTACTACCTATTTTTCCATATGTGTATGTTTTTAACCCTAAGGTATTATTTTGTTATACATAGCTTAACGATGGATTTGACTTTGTCATACAAATGCAGGGGAGCTGCAATTCGTGAGAGAAATTAACTGGAATCAAAAGTATTTATAGAGGTGACTAACATTTACTCTTATAAATGATATCATGTTATTTTTCTTGTTTATTTGCTTTTGGTTCTTTTCTTTACTCTCCTGATTTTGCTGGGTTGGTGAGGATTTTATACTGCATTTTCTTTATATTCAAGTGGCAAAAAATGGTCTGAGTTGTGCAGTATTTCTGATTTTCTAGTAGTTACCATTGAATTTTTCTACATAGACATAAATCCATGATTCTTTGTAAGCATACCAAATTTAATGAGGTCTACTATACGGCTCCTACTACATTTTATGAAGGCAGAGAGGTTAACTAGCAAGGAGGACCTGAGGTTACTAGTCCTTTGCTTATGCCCTGCACGTAACATCCACACCACCCCCTTCTGGGAAGCACATAGCCATAGGTTCAATCATTTGGTCACTTAGACTGGCACCAGTGAAAAATAACCAACCAGTGATGGCCAATAGTTTATTATAAGGTTATTGCAATAAGTTTGCAAGGCATTAGAATCTGTGCTTGATATAAAAATGCATGCATTCCTTATTGTTTCAGTGACACATTTAGATTTTTTAATATTTAAAAAACTGTAAAAGTTTTGGTTTTCAGAAAGACGAGGAAGGTTGCCTATAATGTTGTCCAAAAACTTTTCAGATCAATTTGTTCTTCTGAAGCTGTCTTAGGGACTATGTAGATTACTCTAGACAGTGAGTCATCCAGTGTCTGTAAAGAGGCAATTGGGAATGACAGTGCAATCAAACAAACATCCCTTCAACCATGACCCTGGCCCAAAGGACATGGGTCTAATCAACATTTTGTTGGGAGAAGCCACCTGATAAGACCATGTAAGCCACCTGAGACATTGAGGAAATTGATTGCCTATTTATCAGTGATCAGTGTAGGTATGGGTTCCTATCTGGTATTGTCTGTAGAGTTCAAGGGAATCGGTTTGGTGAACGTGATTTATGACTTATCAGAGGTCTTCAGAACTCAACTTGTTCATGAGAGATATGACAATTTCAGAAGTAGAGGGGAGTAATTTATTCACCTCCTCTAAGTTAGCTGGATGAATGGAAATCAACATTCTACCCAAACATTTAAAATGAATATTTATTTCGCATTTCAGAGGAGTGTAGGCAACAACAATCAGTGATAATCATCTCCTTCCCCCAACACTTTTGTCATGAGGTGGGGCAGAACCACGTCAGTCTTCTCCAGGTTGCATGGCTGCTGCAAAGCACATGTTGCAATTGGCTCTTCCTGGATTGTGGCTTGGCTGCTGCTGTGCCTCCTGCTATTCAAATAGTGGGGGTGCAGGGTTGATCTTATTTGCCATGCAAAGGTGCAGATTACATTATTTACAATTATCCAAACTATTGTTTCCACTTCTTTTACTGGTCCTTGGCTGTGCTTCTCTTGTAAACAATGCGGTCCTATTCTTTATCATGCCATCTCTCTGAGGTTGCTGCCTAATGGTGAACTTATTTCTATTAGAGGTTTCCTCAGCTACACCTAAGGATCACTTATTAGAATCAAAGGTTGCTCTAAGTTGCCTCAGTTGCTTTATCTTTTAAGCAAAGAAATTTTGATTCACAGTAAAAGCTAAGTATCTTTGTTTGCCTCTTATTAAAGCATACAAAGTTATATCTAAGTCATAATATGTAAGAATATCTTCTAAAAAGAAACTCAATATCTAATTGTAAAATATAATCAACTTGATTTGTAATTCTCTTTACCAAGAGAAGATGATTACAACTATAATTTTTGTTGAAGTACTAAGCATCCAAAATAACATATACTCACTTTATTTTGTATAATGAAAATTAACAAATAACAAATGCTATATTATAAAAATATTAATACATGGAAGCACCACATAATTCAGAAGTACTTTCAGGTTAATCTTACAAATGGCTGGGAGAGG